AGCACCACAAACACAGCACCACCAAACACAGCACCACCAAACACAGCACCACCAAACACAGCACCACCAACACAGCCCCACCAACACAGCACCACCAAACACAGCACCACCAACACAGCACCACCAACACAGCACCACCAAACACAGCACCACCAACACAGCACCACCAAACACAGCACCACCAAACACAGCACCACCAACACAGCACCACCAAACACAGCACCACCAACACAGCACCACCAAACACACCACCACCAGCAAACACAGCACCACCAAACACAGCACCACCAACACAGCACCACCAAACACAGCACCACCAAACACAGCACCACCAAACACAGCACCACAAACACAGCACCACCAAACACATCACCACCAAACACATCACCACCAAACACAGCACCACCAAACACATCACCACCAAACACAGCACCACCAAACACAACACCACCAACACAACACCACCAAACACATCACCACCAAACACAGCACCACCAAACACAGCACCACCAAACACAGCACCACCAACACAGCACCACCAACACAGCACCACCAACCCTTGCAGCTCCTTAAACCAATTATACACATATATATTCACACACACTTTTTCAGACCAAAACATCAAGCTTGCCATGTCGTTCTGGTCAAGAAATATTCGCTGACTTGAGAAGAGTGAATAAACATTCCAACCATCACAATCCCAACTCACAACGTTTGGGCAACCTTAATACAACATGAAAATAACATTACGGCCGCATTTGGCCACTAGAACACTCACAACGGAATTTGTAAACACTCTCAAGATGAACTCCCCCCCTGCTAGAATGGCAACACCGCTTGCTTGATGGGGCTCTGGGAGTTGTTCTACTCCCCCAAGTCGACTCCCACCTTCCAGTACTAAAACAATTAGACAAAAGGTCCTTAATCGCTGTTAAGACCTTGAGACCTTTCTTCAAGACGCTTTTGATTAGCTGGGCTGTTGTGCCTCCCCGTCGGCGTGCAAGCTGCAGTGGGTGTGAGTGGGCTGTGTTGCCCTCCCACACTCCAGCCCCCAGGACGGAAGGGGTCTGGAAGAGGAGACACAAATAACCCACATGTGCAGCTACAGGTCTCAAGGGCGCCGGAGAACAAGCCACTGTACACCACCATCACTGTAGTCTGTCTGTTCCACCTGTCTCTACGGCGTGCCTCCCTACCTGTCTGTTCCACCCGTCACTACGGCGTGCCTCCCTACCTGTCTGTTCCACCCGTCACTACGGCGTGCCTCCCCACCTGTCTGTTCCACCTGTCTCTACGGCGTGCCTCCCTACCTGTCTGTTCCACCCGTCACTACGGCGTGCCTCCCTACCTGTCTGTTCCACCCGTCACTACGGCGTGCCTCCCCACCTGTCTGTTCCACCTGTCTCTACGGCGTGCCTCCCACCTGTCTGTTCCACCTGTCTCTACGGCATGCCTCCCTACCTGTCTGTTCCACCTGTCTCTACGGCGTGCCTCCCTACCTGTCTGTTCCACCTGTCTCTACGGCGTGCCTCCCTACCTGTCTGTTCCACCTGTCTCTACGGCGTGCCTCCCCACCTGTCTGTTCCACCTGTCTCTACGGCGTGCCTCCCTACCTGTCTGTTCCACCTGTCTCTACGGCGTGCCTCCCCACCTGTCTGTTCCACCTGTCACAACGGCGTGCCTCCCCACCTGTCTGTTCCACCTGTCTCTACGGCGTGCCTCCCCACCTGTCTGTTCCACCCATCACTACGGCGTGCCTCCCTACCTGTCTGTTCCACCCGTCACTACGGCGTGCCTCCCCACCTGTCTGTTCCACCCGTCACTACGGCGTGCCTCCCCACCTGTCTGTTCCACCTGTCTCTACGGCGTGCCTCCCCACCTGTCTGTTCCACCCGTCACTACGGCGTGCCTCCCCACCTGTCTGTTCCACCCGTCACTACGGCGTGCCTCCCCACCTGTCTGTTCCACCCGTCACTACGGCGTGCCTCCCCACCTGTCTGTTCCACCTGTCACTACGGCGTGCCTCCCCACCTGTCTGTTCCACCTGTCACTACGGCGTGCCTCCCCACCTGTCTGTTCCACCTGTCACTACGGCGTGCCTCCCCACCTGTCTGTTCCACCTATCTCTACGGCGTGCCTCCCTACCTGTCTGTTCCACCCGTCAC